TTTCCGCACTCTCGACCGATTTCCGATCCCCGGCATTTGTTAGCTAAAATACTATTATATTACTTTAATTTACTTTTAATGTATAATATCTAATTAATTCTGCTTTGTAAAACAAGATCATTTTTACGTCATTTTGATGTCTTAATGATGTCATGAATAGGTGCTCCGGTGGGTCATTTTGACGTCACCGTGATGCAAAAAAATGATCAAAAAAGGATGTCATCTTGATGTTTTTGTGACTAATATGTTCTACTTGGGTAGGTCTCAAGTAGCATAATGACGTCATTTTGACATCTAATGACGTCATTCGACGTTTAATATAGTCAAAATCACATACGCTTGCTACCTGAGATGACTTCGTTATTTCCTTACTTTTTATTAAGAATGGTCAGAATTATTATAATTAATCGGTAACATATAATTTACAAATGACCTTCGTATTTCTTTCTTAATATAGAGAGAGTAATATTATCGTTATTCGTAAGTAATTGAATAAAATCAATTACTTATTTCAGCATTAAAATTAAAAATATTTTATATAAGAATTTATTATGTATGATTGAAACACAAATATTATTTACTATCGTATCGAACGAGCAATAAGCAACAACATTCTACAAAATATTAATCAGTTTATTTATTTATGTTATGTTAAAATAATGATTACAGATAATTTCGTACGAATAATTGATTATATGTAGAATTCAACAAAAAATGCAAAGGAAAAGTGTAATCATTTTCCGTATTTTTTTAATATTGAATTTGATATTCTATCTTTTTAATTTCTTTATCACAAAATACAATTCTAAAAAATTTTAAATCACATAGATAATAATAGAACCGTATTTAATGTTCAAAAATAATATAGGAAATGATCATCCTTTTTCTTATTGTTGAGAAAAAGTTTTTTTGTTAAATGTATAATGTATATCGTATGAAATATCTTAGATTTGTCTGAACTTTTTCAGATTATGTCATTCAAAGAAAATGTTGAGGACTTAATACCGCCTTTTGTAATCGTATTTGTCTTGATCTTGTATATGTTTCTAGCAAATTATCTCGGTCAAATCGTAACAAATTACAATGAACATATATTTATTACCGTGTAAGAATAACGTATCTGCTAAATAGCATATATATATATATATATATATAATAGCATACATATAAGGAACTGTTTCATAATGCGTTTAAAATTTTATCTCTTTAAATTTATCTCTTTATAGATTAATCATTATAAATTAATTTTTTCTAGATATAACGTTAAATGGTACAGAGCTCCATTAAGTATACAAAGAATGACACTGTTTTTGATGCAAAGAAATGTCAAAAATTTTACTTTGAACGTCAGAGGACTCTTTTCTGCATCTATAGAGTGTTTTGCGACGGTATAAGATAGTAAAATATATATTTATAAAAACAGCACACATATCATAAGGATAATATTAAAATATCTTTCAATTTTCAGTTACTAAAGACTTCAGTATCTTATTTTACAGTCATATATTCTATACAGTGATTAGACGATAAAAATTTAAATTAAATATAATTACGGTACAAGAATATTGTTATAATAGAGAACATTAATATTTATTTATATATTTCTTATATATTAAAAAAATAAAAACGTATTTTTCTAAAACTATTTTGTCCATCTAATTTAGAAGTAGTTTTTTTTATGCAAAAAGGTAAGAAATAAAGTTGTTTTAAGATATTATTATGTATTTCATTCTTTCAACACATTGAAATTAAATACTGCACATAATTTGCATCGAATATAAATGTTTTATCATTTTCACTGTTTTCAATTTCAACATCATCAGTGCACAATATGCAATATGTTATCTAACATGTTAAACTTCGAATAAATGATTAATTTTAGCATTCGTAGAAACATTTAAAAATTTAGAGCTTTCAATAATTAATAATGTATATTTTTGTTAAAACAAGAAAAATATAATTACATAAAAGTTTACGTAAATATTTAATAAGAAATTATATTAATTTGGCCGCAGCAAAATCTTAATTGTATCAATCGCGTCAACTTATTTCTTTTTAATTCAAAATTGCATTAATTATTCTTACATAACCACATTTTAATATAACTTTAAATTTCACTATGAATGCATCATCCGGCTTCAAAATATTCGAGTTAAATTTTATTTTATTCGAAGACTAAACATGTGTGTTTGTACACATAGAATGAAATTAGAGGGAAAAATGGCTACAGGGGAATATACACATCCACTCGTGGGAAAAGGACATTTATGAAATAACACTTTTAGTGTTATATCGATCGTGTAATCGTAGACACCTCAGGGGGAAATTTTTAAATTGCACGTGTTCTATTCTCACTATGATATTTTGCGTATCATTTTTTTTTCTTTTTTTTTACTAAAATAAATTGCGCTAAAATTTACTAAAAAAAGAAGTTGTGAGTTATCTAATATAAAACGCGAAAATACCAAAGAAAAAAGAATGACATATTTTGAAAATCTTAGAAAAAAGATCAGTATCGCGACGTAATATTTTTGTTTTCATAAAATGTTTATGTTAGCTATTTTCTTTCTTCTCGAGAAAAAATAATCATATATTTTTTTGTCTACTTATATATATATGTATATTTTTAAATTATTCTATAAATTATAATTATCTATGTAATCAATATAATTCCTATAAATGAATTTGGGACTCAATTAATTTGCATTCTTTTATATATTTTACACAACTTATATTTCAAGTAAGCTTTAATAAATTACTGCATAATAATAATAATAATAATAATATCCTGTAATATGATTTGTGGCAAGTAATTCTTACCATGAAATTTATAAATCAGAATTTAGATTAGCACCAATATAATAATTTTAATTATATCATAATTGTAATATATCATAACATTGCTTTTATAATTTGTGTCTATAGTAAATATTTTGAAAAGATTGCACTTTATCATCTTGATTTTTACATATACTAGACAACACAAGCGCCCGCTTCGTTCGCGCCATTGGTATTATGTCTATATAGGTTCTATAATAGTCAAGTTAATTATTAATATTCGCGATGACAGAGCTTGATACTTTCAATTTAACAACAAAGCGAATCGAGAGAAACAAACAGCACCGCAGAAAACCGGCAACAATATTTGCAAGAATGCCTTTTTTAAAAAGGGACATAATTTTAATTTGTCGAATTTTTATTATGTATATAACTGTACATAGAAATTCGAGAATAATATTATGCTCACAATAAAAATTCGATGGATTAAAATCATGTACATGATAAAAATTCATTGATTTAACATTATGTTTATAGTAGAAATACGGCGAATTAAAATTATGTACATAATAGAAATTTGGCGAATTTTTAAGTGCATAATAGAAATTCGGCGAATTAAAATTATGTACATAATAGACATTTAGGAATTAAAATTGAAAGTATATAATAATATATAAAATTAAATCTAATCAAGTTTATTTTCATCACTAGCGTCCAATATTAATTTTGATTGATCTTATTTATATTATATCCATATGATTACAAAATATCGATTAACATGAATAATCGATTATATAATTCTACAGAAAGATTCAACGAAAAGTGTAATCATTTCCCGTAGATTTTAGTATTGAATTTGATATTCAAACATTTAATTTCTTTATTACAAAATAAAGTTCTGAAAAATTTAAAGTCACACAGATAATAGAACCGTATTTAACGTTTGGACCAGTTTAAGCATTGATTATCCTTTTTTTGTGGTTGAGTAGTAATTTTTGTTAAATGTATAATGACATATTTTTGTTAAATGTGTCGTGAAATATCTTAGATTTGTCTTAGGTTTTTCAGGTTGTAATGTTCAAACATATCAAGGAATGCATAATGCTTCATACACGCATTTGTCATGGGCTTGTATATGTTTCTAGTAAATTATGTCGGTCAAGTCGTGACGGATTACAATGAGCATATATTTATTACCGTGTAAGAAATTAGAGATTAATCATTTACAAATTTATTTTCTAGATATGACATTAAATGGTACAGAGCTCCATTATGTATACAGAGAATAATACTGTTTCTGTTGCAAAGAAATGTTAAAAACTTTACTTTGAAAGTTGGTAGACTGTTTACTGTGTTTGTTGAGTATTTTGCAATGGTATAAGAGAAAAGATATAGTAAAATATATATTTATAAAAATGGCACACATATCATAAGTATAATAATTAAACGTTTTTCATGTTTCAGTTAGTATAAAGACTTCAGTATCTTATTGTACAGTTATATATTCTATACAGTGATGAGACAATAATAATTTGGGTTAAATACGGTAAGAAAATATATAGTTATAATAAAAGACATAAATATTTATATATATATATTTTTTATATATTAAAAAAGTTAAAATATACTTGTATAGAATTATTTTGTCTATCTAGTTTAGAGATAATGTTTTATGTAAAAAAAGATTAAGAAATTAAGTTATTTCAAGATATTATTATGTATTACATTTTTCAACGCATTGATCTGAGAAAATCGATAATGTTATTTTGCTCTGAAAAATTAAACTCTTAATCCCGCAAATTTTAGGATTTGATAATGCCATATAGCAAAAACTAATTAATTTGCCTTCAAAAATAGCACTACATATATTATACATACTATAACACTGAAAGCTGAATATTGTTCTCAAGAAACATACGTATGTCACGAAAGCGCGCGATGAAATAAAGGGTGCAAAATTCTGTTATAAAAAAAGTGACGATTACGCATGCGCGACTTTCGCGTAAATATAGATATGTACATAATTCTATCAATATTTTCTCCCCTTTTTTTAAGGAAAAAAATTTTAAGTAAATTTCTTTTGTTATTATAATGATTGCGTAATTCTACTTTATTTCGAAAAATAGTGTTAAAAAAATACGAATACTCCGACTCTAAGGTAATATAGTAAGGCAAGATATCTTATACCACCTTGTATTATACGAAATTAAGTAATTTATGCGGTAGAATTTACACCAAAGGTGATAAGTAAATAACAGATAATAGGTAAACGATGAGGAAGAAGAGGGGGATAAGCCGACTCTCGTCGGCTGCTCTTCACAATCATTCATGTCTCAGACTTTGCAAAGAGATGACCGGCGTCAAGATTAACCATTTTCGTATACATAAAATTCTTCTGCTCGCTTTAGGCGTGTGGCCCTTACAACAATCAAATTTCACTCGATTTCAATTTATTTTCCTGTCTAGTATTTTAACGGCACATGTGATATTTCAAGTAAGTTTTACTAAATTACTAATATCGTGTAATATATGAATTACGGCAAGCAATTTTTACCATAAAATTTATAAATCACAATTTAGATTAGCATTGAATAATAATATTAATTACATGATAATTGTATATAATCATAATTTTGCTTTTATATAGATTAATTGTGTATATGGTAAATATTGTCCGAAAAGGTTACACTTATAAATCATTTTGATTTTTACATATATTGTATTAGAAACAACAGAATCCGGAATTACATACAATATGGTTTCTGAAATATATGAATTGTTTATTTAAATAAAACTGCTTATTTAAAATACAAAAATAATCTAGATTTTTTATAGAATTAGATAGAAAAATATTATATAAATAAATATAATATATACACATGTATAAATAAGTATGTCAATATTATTTAATTTTATTATTTACATGTATATAATACTTTAATTACTTTATTACATTTTAATTATTCTTAAATAAGCGTTTTTATATTTCAGAAAATAATACGAGGTAGCCTCTTTCAGATGAGACTGCGAATATTAAAAGTCTTACAATTAGTGAAATGCTATCGCGTTTTATGATGTAAAAATTAAAATGATCGGTGAAGTGTTACCTTTTAATATTTATTATTTACACACACATACACACATACCAAATATCAAAACACGTATATATATGTATATGTGTTTAATACATGTGCATTTGACTTTATTAAATACTTTTATTGTAAATAAAATTTTATCAAAAATGATTATAATTTTTTATAATTAGTGATATATAATGTAAATTACACAGTTCATGTGTCCATATGCACACGTGACATAAACCTACTAATTTTTTAATGCAAACTTATTTAATTTTTACTTGCAGTGTACAGTATTCATTTCACAAAAATGTACTACGGATCTCATCATTAAAGTTTTATCCTCCGTAGTTTTCTTTACAATGTTTATGATAAAATACTACATGTTTTATGTTAATATCAACGGTGTAAGTTGATACCTAACTTATAAGACGGAAAAAATTTGTTCAATAACTTATTATTATGCCATGTTTTTGACATTATTATTTATTGTATAAGATATGAAATTATTGAAATAGATGAAGGACTTATTGGAACGATTATTGCATGTGTGTAATGAATTGAAAGACGAAAATGAAATTGCTATTATAAATAAATATGGATGTTATGGCGTACGTTATACTATATCACTTCTTGGTAAGATAATCGTTTTAGATTTGCACAAATACGATTATACTTTTTTCTTATCATTCACTTTTTATTTCATTTTTGAAAATTCAAAAAATCCATTTCTTAACAAAGTACTCTAACAGCAGAAATGTTCGAAAGATATTCAAAAAATATCCATAGAATATTGCAACAATTTTAGGATATACAATATAATAGTTTTCTTGTGTAGATAATATATCAGTAACAAATATTTTCAAAACTGGAATAAAGTGATAAAAATGGCAGCTATTAATATTATGGATCAATCACACATTGGTTACTAAAAAAAATTAAGGATTCAATTAAAATATGCAATTAGAATGAGATAATATGTAAATCAATTTAAAAACTTATATGACAAAACATTAAATAATATTTCTGACACCTTTTCAGTTGCCTTTTGCAGCATATCTCTTGTCATTTTTGCGTTATTTTGGCCGGATGTTTTAAATATTATTTTATCGATAAACGAGTCAAGATCGCATCATTTGATAATCATGACGGAGTATTTTATCGATCAACAAAAATATTTTTATTTTATATTCTTGCATACTATTGCAGCGCTTATTATTGGGGCGACTGCAATGGTAGCGATAGGAACAATGTTCATTACGTATCTTCAACTTGTTTGTGGAATGTTTAAAATTGCCAGGTATGTGCGGATGTAAATACAAAATACGCCATAAATATTTATACACTGTTGAACGAATACTCATAAACAAAACTGTTCAATACATAAATAGCAAATTGACATTTGTTAAATGTTAAAATGATGTCATTTTGACGTGTAATGACGTCATTTAATGTTAAAATGACGTACGCTTGCTACCTGGGCAATTGTTTAACTAAAAAAATATTTTACATAAGAATTTATTGTGTGTAATTGGAACACAAATATTATTTATAGCTATCGTATCAAACGAGCAATGAGCAACAACATTCTACAAAATATGAATCAGTTGAAATACATTTTCATATACAAGGGTTTAATTTGCGCTGTGAACATTCATCGACAAGCTATGAAGTTGGTATATATATAATATGCGTACCTACCCCAACTGAAAGTGGCAAACTGACGTCATTAAATGTCAATTTGCTACTTGGGATGCTATATACACATAATAACAAATTTTTATTTTTATAGCTTATCCACAGTCCTCATGTTTAATATTGAGACAATGATGTTATGTTTAACAATATCTGCAGTTTTATCGGTGAGCTTCAATCTGTTTCGAGTAAGTCTTCCGTTTTGTTAGATCTATTCTTGAGCACGTACTCGATAATTTCCACAGTTTACAATAAAGTTACACGATCAACTGCACAGTATATTAGATCCCAAGTAGCATAATGACGTCATTTTGATATCTAATGACGTCATTCGACGTTTAATATAGTCAAAATCACATACGCTTGCTACCTGAGATGACTTCGTTATCTCCTTACTTTTTATTAAAAATTGAATAAAATCAATTACTTATTTCAGCATTAAAATTAAAAATATTTTATATAAGAATTTATTATGTATAATTGGAACAAATATTAAACAAATCAAATATAGTAGGCCAACTAAACGAGCAAATAAATCAGGTGTAAAAATTTATTAATAGTTAAATAATTAAATTAACATTCTGTTACAGAATCGATATAAATTGTAAACCAGTGTTGGTATACCAATATCTATTGGTCAACAGCGAAGAATCGTTTTAATTTTATATTTTAATATTTAACTAACTTTGTATTTTTAACATTTAACTTTGTATTTTAATATTTAACTTTTATGTATTGATAAAGACTGTAGTGCAGTCGAAACGTTTACAATTTATATCGATTCTGTAACAGAATGTTAATTTAATTATTTAACTATTAATAAATTTTTACACCTGATTTATTTGCTCGTTTAGTTGGCCTACTATATTTGATTTGTTTAATTTTGTTAATTTATACGAGCCTTTCATTAATTAATTGGAACAAATATTATTTACTATCGTATCGAATGAGCAATGAGCAACAACATTCTACAAAATATTAATCAGTTTATTTATGTTATGTTAACATAATGATTACAGAATATTTCGTACGAATAATCGATTATATGTAGAATTCAACAAAAAACGCAAAGGAATAGTGTAATCATTTTCCGTACTTTTTTAATATTGAATTTGATATTCTATCTTTTTAATTTCTTTATCACAAAATACAATTCTAAAAAATTTTAAATCACATAGATAATAATAGAACCGTATATATTTAATGTTCAAAAATAATATAGGAAATGATCATTCTTTTTCTTATTGTTCAGAAAAAATTTTTTTGTTAAATGTATAATGTATATTGTATGAAATATCTTAGATTTGTCTGAACTTTTTCAGGTTATGTCATTCAAAGAAAATGTTGAGGAATTATTACTGCCTTTTTTATTCACATGTAGCCCTATCTTGTATATGTTTCTAGCAAATTATAACGGTCAAATCGTAACAAATTACAATGAGCATATATTTATTACCGTGTAAGAAACGTATCTGCTAAATAGCATGCATAAAGATACATAAAAGGAACTGTTTCATAATGCGTTTAAAATTTTATTTCTATAAATTAATCATTATAAATTAATTTTTTCTAGATATAACGTTAAATGGTATATAGCTCCATTATGTATACAGAAAATGGTGCTATTTCTGTTGCAAAGAAGTTCTAAAAATTTTAATTTAAACGTTGGTGGACTGTTTAATGGATCTCTAGAGAATTTTGCAACGGTAGTAGAGAGAAGACAGTAATGAAATATATATTTATAAAAATAGAACATATTATGATTTGTATAAAAATAAAATGTGTCTTTCATATTTCAGCTAATAAAGGCCTCAGTATCGTATTTTACAGTCATATATTCTACTCAAGGATGAGACGATAATCTTTTGAATTAAATATAATTACGGTAAGAGAATATATAATCATAATGAAGAATATAAATAATATTTATAAAGTATTTCTTATATATGAAGAAAATAAAAACACTACTTTTTAAATTTATTTCATTCGTCTAGTTTAGAAATGATTTCTCATGGAAAAGAAAATATAATAGAAAGAAACAAAGTTATTTCAAGGTACTATTATGCGTTACATATTTTTAACTTGTTGAAATCGTATGCTGTACATAATATATAATAAAGTATAATAATTACTCAGTTACTTTACACTATATACTTTCAATTTCATCTGTACATTTGTATTTACTCAGACTTTTTTTATAATATTAGTATACTAATAATGTCTATTTTAATATGTATGAAATTTGACAATTTAAAGAGAGAAGTAAGAGTTTATCTGAATAATTTGATATTGTAAGCGAAAAGAAAGAAATCGATATATATAGCTCCTAAAATATTAAAATTTTAATCACGTCAATTTAGGACTTGAAAATGCTGTAAATAAATCTGATTAATTCGTCTTCAAAAATAACATCACCTTAATCACAAATATTAAAGTACTGATTGTTGAATTGTTCTTTAAGAACATGTACGTATATATCACGAAAGCGCGCGATAAAATAAAGAGTGTAAAATTTGGCAAAAAAGTGATGATTATGTACACGCGACTTTCGCGTAAATATATATCTCTAAAAAAATTACTTTTTTAAAAAAAGGTAAAAAAAAGATGCTAAATCTGCGTAACGTCTCTGTAAAAACCTATCCTACAAAAATTAATAATATAAAAAAATGATGCTAAGTAAAAATAAAAACTTTTTAAAATATTTTAATTTTATTTAATTAACCAAATAAGTTATATAAAATAATTTTTTAATTTCCTACATCCTACAAAAAATAATATTAAACATTTGCAAATTACTGCGTAATTAAACAAATAATATGTTAAAATTAATGTATTTCTTCGCTTGAATGTCTTTCAATTAAAGTTTAGCTGTGCTAAGTTTCTTAATTTTTTAATTTAAAAAAAAATTATTTTTTAATTTTTTTTACATTTTTAATATCTATATAATTTTATTTTAATTTTTTAATTTTAATTTTTTTATTTTCAATTTTTTTAATTATTGCTAATTTTTAATATTATTTTTTGTAGAAAGTAGAAAATTAAAAAATTATTTTATATAACTTTTTTGGTAAATTAAATAAAATTATAATATTTTAAAGTTTTTAATTCTACTTAGCATAATTTTTTTATATTAGTAATTTTTGTGGGATAGGTTTTTACAGGGACGTTACGCGGACTTAGCATCTTTTTTATCTTTTTAAAAAGATAATTTTTTTAAGGATATCACTTCTTTTTGTACTATACATTTATTTTTTTTAATTTCTAATTTTTAATATCTATCTACATAAATTAAAATAAAAAAGTTATTCACATACTTAAATATTTGGCATGAGTATAATTATATCATGCAACAAAATCTCAGAAAGAGAAGAAAATAAAGCATGCATTTAAAAAATATTAATTACATCAAAGCAAAAATTACTTACTCTGGAGCAATCTTTTCATATTTTATAATAATAATATCAATCACATCTACATTTAGCAGATTCTCAAACATAATCGAAAAACCGAAAAAATTGACATGACTTGTTGATGTCTTATTTTTTCTTTGCAGAAACTGATTCCACACAGATTCATTTGCTTGCATCAAGCCGAAGCAAAATAATAATTGTATACTACGTCTGTAATTTTATTTCTTTTAAACAAATTTATTATATTAACCTATACCTGTCAAAACTAGATAATGAATTATCAAAACCAAGTAATCAATAAATTAATACATCACAAAACGTTAGCGCCTTCTTGCGTCAGTTATATGAAGAGTACGTCGCATACGTGGGCCGCGACGTTTCTTAATGAAAAATTTTGACATTTCAACTTTGTATCGTAATAGCTTCGTTTAGAGAGCACGTAGCGCAAAAATAAAGACACTTTCATTATTTAATTCATACTCAAGATATCGATTGAGCCTAGAAATAACTCAATCCATTCAGCGGTTATATGTGAACTGAAAATATCGAGTACTCTCAACTATTCGACTCGCGTAAAGAGACATGGCGTGTCGTTTCTTTTCTTTCTTGAACTTAGCACAAGACACTACCGTGTCTCTTGATATTTTGCTATTTTTACTTTTTTTTATATCGGAAAAAGACATTTTCTTCTGTTATTAAATGAATTGTGTAATAATATAAAACTATTTATATAACTTTTCTCTCTGTATATATATAAGATCAAATATAATTTTAATCTAACGAGAAATTTTGGTTCGCATATGAGTAATTTCACGTCAACCACGGACCACTACCTCTCAGACTAGAAAAAATTACAATTTAAAAATCGTTACAAGGGTGCAAAATTTGCTATAAAATGTAATTTTTGAATGCCGTGTGCTAAAATTACGATACATACTATACACCTATATTATTACATATTATTACATACAATACCACTGAAAGCTGAATATTATTCTCAAGAAACATACGTATGTCACAAAAGCGCGTGATGAAATGAAGGCTGTGAAATTTCTGTTACAAAAAGTGACGATTACGCATGCGCGACTTGCGCGTAAATATAGGTATGTACATAATTCTACTAATATTTTCTCCCCTTTTTGTAGGGGAAAAAAACTTTAAGTAAATTTCTTCTGTTATATAAATTGATCGCGTAATTATACATAATTCTATCAATATTTTCTCCCTTTTTTCGTGGGAAAAAAATTTAAATATATTTCTTTTGTTATTAAATTGATTGCGTAATTCTACTTTATTTCGAAAAATAGTGTTGAAAAAATACTCCGACTCTAAGGTAATATAGTAAGGCAAGATATCTTATACCACCTTGTTTTATACGAAATTAAGTAATTTATGCGCTAGAATTTACACCAAAGGTGATAAGTAAATAACAGATAATAGGTAAACGATGAAGAAGAAGAGGGGGATAAGCCGACTCTCGTCGGCTGCTCTTCACAATCATTCATGTCTCAGACTTTGCGAAGAGATGACCGGCGTCAAGATTAACCATTTTCGTATACATAAAATTCTTCTGCTCGCTCTAGGCGTGTGGCCCTTACAACAATCAAATCTCACTCGATTTCAATTTATTTTCCTGTCTAGTATTTTAACGACACAAGTGATATTTCAAGTAAGTTTTACTAAATTACTAATATCGTGTAATATATGAATTACGGCAAGCAATTTTTACCATAAAATTTATAAATCACAATTTAGATTAGCATCGAATAATAATATCAATTACATGATAATTGTATATAATTATAATTTTGCTTTTATATAGATTAATTTTATATATGGTAAATATTGTCCAAAAAGGTTACACTTATAAATCATTTTGATTTTTACATATATTGTATTAGAAACAACAGAATCCGGAATTACATACAATATGGTTTCTGAAATATATGAATTGTTTATTTAAATAAAACTGCTTATTTAAGATACAAAAATAATCTAGATTTTTTATAGAATTAGATAGAAAAATATTATATAAATAAATATAATATATACACATGTATAAATAAGTATGTCAATATTATTTAATTTTATTATTTACATATATATAATACTTTAATTACTTTATTACATTTTAATTTATTTATAAATAAGCGTTTTTATATTTCAGAAAATAATACGAGGTAGTCTCTTTCTGATGAGACTGCGAATATTAAAAGTTTTACAATTAGTGAAATGTTATCGCGTTTTTGATGTAAAAATTAAAATGATCGGTGAAGTGTTACATTTTAATATTTATTATTTACGCACACATACACACATACAAAATATCAAAACACGTATATATATGTATATGTGTTTAATACATGTGCAGTCGACTTTATTAAATACTTATATTGTAAATAAAATTTTATCAAAAATAATTATAATTTTTTAAATTAGTGATATATAATGTAAATTACACAGTTCATGTGTTCATATGGACACGTGACATTAACCTAATAATTTTTTAATGCAAATACATTTAATTTTTACTTGCAGTGTACAGTATTTATTTCACAAAATGTACTACGGATCTCATCATTAAAGTTTTATCCTCCGTAGCTTTCTTTACAATGTTTATTATAAAATACAACATGTTTTATGTTAATATCAACGGTGTAAGTTGATACCTAACTTATAAGACGGAAAAAATTTGTTCAATAACTTATTATTATGCCATGTTTTCTGACATTATTATATATTGTATAAGATATGAAATTATTGAAATAGATGAAGGACTTATTGGAACGATTATTGCATGTGTGTAATGAATTGAAAGACGAAAATGAAATTGCTATTATAAATAAATATGGATGTTATGGCGTACGTTATACTATATCACTTATCGGTAAGATAATGTTTTAGATTTGCACAAATACGATTATACTTTTTTCTTATCATTCACTTTTATTCTACTTTTGAAAACTCAAAAAATCCATTTTTAACAAAGTACTCTAACAGCAGAAATGTTCGAAAGATATTCAAAAAATATTCATAAAATATTGCAACATTTTTAGGGTATACAATATAATAGTTTTCTGTGTAGATAAATCAGTAACAAATATTTTCAAAACTGGAATAAAGTGATAAAAATGGCAGCCATTAATATTATGGATCAATTACACATTGGTTACTAAAAGAAAATTAAGGATTCAATTAAAATATGCAATTAGAATGAGATAATATGTAAATCAATTTAAAAACTTATATGACAAAACATTAAATAATATTTCTGACACCTTTTCAGTTGCATTTGCAGCATATCTCTTGTCATTTTTGCGTTACTTTGGCCGGATGTTTTAAATATTATTTTATCGATAAACGAGTCAAGATCGCATCATTTGATAATCATAACGGAGTATTTTATCGATCAACAAAATATTTTTATTTTATACTCTTGCATGCTATTGCAGCGTTTATTGTTGGGGCGACTGCA